GGCCGTGTAACCTTCCCCCCCCCCCCAATTATCACATTAAGCAACATGTTTGGAGAAATGCTTGCTCTAAAGAGGAACTCCTTTTTGGGTTCCTGAAACATGAAGGGACATCTGGTGGCTAGTGATCTTTCTGACAAACCATAATAATAAGTCTTCTTTTTCTCCCCAGTTTTCCTTCCTGATGACTGAAGCCTTGCTGGTTTATTCTCCAGAGAGTTCCCTTCTCCGGTCCTTTTCCCGTAAGGCCAAGGTCCGCTTCCACTGGGCTTTACAGCTGCTCTCTTTCATCTGTGCAGTGTTGGGCTTGGCCATCATCAGCTATAATAAGTACATCAACGGTAAAGACCACTTTGTCACCTGGCATGGCCAGACAGGCTTGCTGACTGTGCTATATGCAGGCATGCAGTGCATGGGGGGGCTGGCACTGCTCTATCCCAAGTTGATTAAGAACTGGACACTGAGCAAACTCAAGCTTTACCATGCCACCTCAGGGCTGATTGGGTACCTCCTTGGTTGTGCCAGTTTGCTGCTGGGCATGTGTTCCTTGTGGTTCACTGCAGCTGTGACTGGAATCTCCTGGTATCTGTCCATCTTATGTCCTATCCTCACCAGCCTGGTAATCATGAACCAAGTGAGCAATGCTTACCTCTACCGCAAAAGAATCCAGCCTTGAAAGAATATGCCTACTGGGTTCCTTGAAGAGTTCCTGCATCATCTTTAAGGAGTTCCATAGCCTTGTATGGCACAAGCACTGAAGAATCCTTTTTTATCTGCCTAGACTTTTAGATGGCAATTTTTAAAAAAACCTAGACCTCTGATTTCCTTCTGTTGTTTAAATCCTGGAGATGCTTATAGTATTGTACCATTTTATTTACAGAGCCAGGGTCCATGCAGCTTTTGGCATAAATCTGGAAATGCATCACTGTAGTGCTGCATAATAGTCCAGCAGCTATCTGTTGCTGCCTTCTCATGAGACAACGATATATATTACTCAGCTGACTATTGGAACTGAAAGGTTTCCCCTCTTAAACATACGCACCTGGCTCAATGCCTTTAGCTCCTTTTCTCTTGTTAAGAGTGGGGAGCAGAAGTGATGCAGATCAGGGGAAAGATGTATATTTGTTAACATTCCTTCTGGACAGGGAAAGAGAGGCTTCTCTTCAATATCACAGCATTTCAAATAACAGTATTTCCCTCTTTAAAAAAAAGCAAAGTGAAATGCGCAGCTTCCTCTGTTAGGAGGGGCTGTTTAATGTCTGCTACCTGGTGGCCAAGAAGACATTTTATTAAAAATCAGAGCTTGGCAAAAATTGCTTTTGGACTACAACTGATATGACCATGCTTTTTAGATGACTGGGGGACCTGTCACCTTAACATAAGTTTCTCCACACACTTTTTAAAAACTGAACAATAGCAGTGCTTGGGAATGGGTTAGGACCTTCCATAAGTAGAATAATAGTGCTTTCTTGCTATTGAAGAGCAATTATTTCTCCATTTCACTATTTTGCTCTGGTCCTCTCTAGTTGTGCTCTGGTCTTCTGTAGTTGATTTTGCTGCCTTGACAGCAGGCATCTTATACAGTCTTAGCTGAAAGTAAACATGTTTTGTTTGTTTTGGGGAAACAGTGCAATCAGTATGAATTGGGTAGAAATGATGCATAGTGAGCATTTACAGCACAGTTCCATTGCTACAAGCACAATACTGTGTGATATTTAAATTTCCCATTTGATCTCTGTCATCAGTGGTTTGTTGCAGTTGGAAGTGACTCACTGCCCAATTGCACCTTGGGCAGCTATCATCTCACATATCCGTTTGCTCCATTAAGAGTAAAAGGGCTGGCCTGGCCTGTTACCTGAGCACATTCATGGTCAACAGCGACCAGGGAGCATCACATATCAATGCTCTCTGATGGGAAGGAGAGGTGGAAATGAGATTCACTCAGCTCTTTTGTTTTCTTGGATTCCAATGTGCTTGAATCCTGACATTAGATCCTTAATTGGAAGTGAGTTGTAGGCTTATTTTACAGATAGGTAACTAAAAGGAAGACCTGATTTCTAAAGGTTGCTCATTGAACCTAATACAAAAATTTACGATGCTTGCTGCTCTGTCTGCAGTGGCATTTTGACCAAAGTTCCCAAGTCTTTGATTGTTCATAAGAAATGAACAAGTCAGTTCCAGAAAAAGAGTTCCTTCAGGAAAGAACATTCTTTTAGAACTTACCATTCCAACCAGACTGTGACAAGTATGCATGTGCTGGCGAGCAGCACTTGTATTGCTGTTTTCATTTAATTCCCCTATAGAAGTGCTGCCTGCCCAGAAGCACTGACGTTCTTGAAGGGGCCTTTGGAAAAGTACAAGCAAATGTCTGTGGCTTTAGGCCATGTAAGCTGTTGGCTAAGCATCCCTCTCTTGGATGGTGCTGTCAGAGGCAAGGATAAATCACAGCAGCTTTCCCTTTTATGTCACTAGAACTCAGGACAGCCCCCCCCTTTTTTTCTGGAAACTGCTCAAGGAAAGCTTCCCCCATCCTTTCATTCATTAGTGTGATGGGACAGCATGCATCTGCCTTTGCCAAGAAGGAATGGCCCGGGAAAAGCTATGGCGAGGGGGCGCTGGGGGAAGGAAAGGCCAAAGGTGTGAGCAAGAATGGAGATATGGCTCTAATCTAACCAAAGTTAATTACGATTTAAGTTAGTGAAGCAAAGTATCTCAAGGCCTATTTTCAAAGAAATCAACTTTAGTCTGACTGGAGCCAGACTACAATCCGGTACCTCTGAATGAAACCTAGTACCCAGGAATAACAAGAACATCAGAAGAGTGTGCCTGTGAACAGGATCTCAGTAGAGCTCCTTCGACAGAGCAGCACAGTGGTACTGGAGTGACTGTTTTAAAGCAGCATTTAAATGTCTGTAGTTTGTAGTGGTACGCACCTTAGGTATCCTATTGTAGCGTCATTTGTTTTAGTATACATTTTGCCACGTAGTATTATGGGAAGATCCCGCCAGTATTAATAAAAGGTGTGAGTGGGGGTACTTGACTATCTTTACAGTGGAGCATTGTTTCTCTACTTTACTTTTCTCTACTCAGCGATACCAGGTGCTTTACTGACACCTGAGATTGGATTATGTCAACAGAGATGCTTCTTTCATCTTCTTTACATGTATTAATCTGGCTGAAATAACAAATTTTTGCTTCAGTGGGAGGTGTTCTGGCCTTGTCACACAAGTACTGAGGTCACAGAAATTTCATGTACTTCAGGAAATGTGAAGCTGCCCCCACAAAAACTGCTGTTCATACTGAATGGTGTGGTGGGTCTCTCTGCAGGGCAGGTGAACTCATCACTAATCCTGAGTAAGGAAAGAGAATCTGTATTCAAGAGCAGTGTAATAAATAATGCTTTAAAACAACTATAATATTTCTGGCACACTGTCAGTTTGTGTTTTCATTTAGAGACACTGGGCATCATTACTCAGTTGTGATCAATTGACATAGACCCAGTCTGAATGGGAGGGCGCTAATCCTTGTGAATGCATAGGTTAGGTAGTCATTTCTATTTAACATAGTCTCTTTAAATTATACATTGTCTTCTGTGCTTCTGACAGGTACTCTACTTGATATGACTAGAATTTTAAGACATTTTCCTAGGCTCTTCAAAGTTATCCAACAATTTAAGAATATTGGCTACAGGGGAACAAATTAATGCCAGAGTATCACAAACAGTGGATGAATTCACATACACCAGGTTCCTTGGTATGGTAACCAAACAGGTGAAGATAGATTTGCAGCTGGCTAGAAAACTAATCGAAATGGCAGGAGGTTTTGAATTGGTTATCACAGGAATTTCTTCTAGAACTGCTAATATGAAATATTTATCTATGGCTTTCATTGGAAGGAACCTTGGTTCATTTAGTCCAACCTGTTACTTGTGGAGAAATCCACAACTGGAGCAGCTCTAGAATGGTCCAACAAAGGAGTTTTTAACATTCTGAAACAGTCCATTCCACTGCTGAAGGACTTCTCCTTATCGAAAGTTCATCCTAATGCTTAGTTGGAGTCTCACTTCTTGTAATTTGAATGCATTGGTTTGGTCTGCTACCCTCTAGAGCAGCAGAAATCTTTGACGTAGCAGTCCTTTGGATATTGATGATGGCCATCATACCATCCTCTTGGCTAAATATATCTGACTATTCCGTGTAGGGCTGTTTGCAGGCCACTTACCATCTTGGTGCTCTCCGTTGGACACATTTAGCTTGTTAATCTTTTTAAAACCTAGAATTGGACACAGTATCTCACATAAGGTTTCACCAAAGCGTAACAGAGTGGTAGTAGTACTTCTCTTGAACCAAACATTGTAATTCCGTAGATGGAATCACCTCTCCCCTTGCTGCTTCACACAGTTGATTTCATGTTTCCCTTGTGGTCACTAAGACTCAGACTATTGTGTTCTGCACTAGTCAGACTTCTAATTATGGCACCCATATAAAGCTACAGGATCAGAGGAAACACATCTGTGGCTGTGAGTTAGTGCAACACAAGAGTAGAAAAGGATCATTGTCCCCTGCTTCTGGGCTTCCCATAGGCATATTGCATAGGCCCCCACAGACAAGATGATACTGGCCAGAAAGTCTCAGTCTAATCAAGCAGAGTTCTTGGATCCTTGTGTTTCAAATATATGTGATTTCTGACACTAAGCAAAGTTTTGGGCTGGATGGCCTCAATCTCTTTCCAGCTCTGATTCTGTCTTTTAATTGACAGTTTTCTATTAGTCATGTCCTGTATTACCAATAGATGGCACTGAAACAGTGTGCAAGGATAGAGATCTAACCATTTTCTCTGTACAGGAAAGAGCTGTGGAAAGCCTCTGGTGCATGAGCATTCTTCAGTGTCTGCATATCATATCTAGCCGGCCCCTTTGATCCAACTTTGTTATTTTACTAACTGCAATTAGAAATAATCATGGAATGTAGATGGAATCTGCAAATGCTTTTTTAATGCCATGATAATGCATACTGTATAATAGCCCTGCTATTTCTTAAATGGAATGGATATTACCCAGGCAAAACTAAATTTGCTGGTTGGAGAGCTTATTGAGTCAAAGCACAGGGATTCCCCACAGTGCCTCTTAGGAAAAGAACCAGCCTGTCCAGTCTTGGGCAAACTGCAGAGTCCCACAGTGCCCCCAGAAGGAAATGGTAGACCACTTCTGAGTACAGTACAGTCACCAGAAGTAAGAATTGACTTGAGAGCACAGAATTAATTAGAAGTAAAAGCGACAACTGATGGTTATATACTGCCACAGAGCACTTAAAAGCACACTGGGAAGTTTAAAATTTAAATATGCAGATTACACATTGCCCCTCCCCAGGAAGCTGGGTACTCATTTTAATGACCTCGGAAGCATGGAAGGCTGAATGAACCTTGAGTTGGCTACTTGGGATTGAACCCTGGCTCATGAGCACAGTTTTGGCTTACCAATGCGCCATGAGAAGTAAAGTGCAAGGAGACACACCGACCAGTTTGAAGACACTTGCTGGTGCTGAGAACACTTCCCTTACACTAAAATCTAGTTTTTAAAGTGACAAGGATCCATTTAAATGATCCTGGTCATTTTGTGGTTTCTTCCTGCAATTGCTAGAACCTCTTGGTTATCACTAAAGAAACACCAAACAAAATACTCAAGGGTACTGCTGACACAGAGGAGCCAATGTAATGCCTCACTACAAAAGTCCTTCATAAACAAATCTGCAAAGGATTCACTGTCGCTAACTGGTATAAATTAAATTTTATCCACAAGACAGAACTGTAAGGTCATTGAGATGAGTGCATTCTCATAAGACCCTCATCAGAATCTCAAGTAAGGCACAAAGAAAACCAAACCCATGGGTGACTCCCACAAAGGCCGGGATACTGATTCTGCATGATCTGGACAAGGATCCTACAAGGACTGTATGCTCACAAGGCAACTCAGAACTACATGAAACTGGGCAAAGCATTTGTCCTGGCAGCAAAGTGTGCCACCAAATATATGGCTATGATGTTTGGCAGGACTTGGACTGTGGTTACCCAACCTGTTATGCTTCAACACTATAACTCAGTACCAATGATCACTGCTGCATCATTCTGCTTACAAAGTTTGCTTGCTGCAGATATTACTGTCTGACCAAGGTTACTTGGTTCACTGGGCTATGTATAACTAACATCACTATCCTGGATTCCAGTCCGCTGGGTTCCTCAATGGGCCACTCCACTTCTTGGCTGTCCTGTAAGGGCAATACCAATGGATATGTGTAAGGCTGGAATAAATTCTTACTCAAACACTGCATTTGTTATGTTTTTGCTTACATAAGCAAAAGCAAACACCACTTACAATCCAATAAACAGAAACCCCAAACAACACACCAGGAAGCCCACTTGTCACTCCAGCAATTACCTCTCATAAGCATAATTACTACGTACAGTACTGTATCATATTTCACTGTGACACAATGGACTTCCTACAAGGAACCTCTATATAAGAGACTTAATTGTGAAAGCAGAAGTGGCAGGAGCAAGTTGTCCAAATGGGTCATAACAATATTGTTCTGTTTTTATCCCTTTTACTTAATAATCTTCCATGGAATTGTACAAACATCATCATATGCAACTATCTTTGAGCATGATAACTTGACATTTGAGGTTTCTTGATAGTACACAAAGAAAATGTATATTGTGTGAAGGAGCTCTTACCAGAGATGCCTATAAAAGTGGATTTAAATTCCATTTACAAATATTTAACATGAGAAAAAACTACTTAATGGAAGCCAGCATGTTGTGGCAGGTAGCAATGGATTCAGATTGAGGTGGCTTTGATTCAAATCACCATTTGCTCTTGAAACTCCCCGGATAAACTTAGGGCAGTCACTACCTCTCAGGCTAATCCACCTTACAGGACTCTTGCAGAATGAAATAGGGCGAGGAAAAGCTCACGTACACCATCCTGAATTCCAGTACAGAACTGCCATAAACCAACAAATCGCTTGTCTTTCAGTCTTCTACGGCAACAGATCCAACCTCTGCTTTGATTTTGTACCTTTTCCCAATCTTTTATCTCAATTTTCCAGTATGATGCTATATTCATAATAAAGCTTATCTGAGCAAAATCACAAAAGAAAGCAACACCCCAACATTCAGGAGCATAAAAATAAGCCTAACACTTCACTACTGCAATTTAACATCCTCTGGTGTTTACTGTATTGATTGCAATTACAGTACTTTGGAATGACAAACTTGGGAGTTTATATGATCAAAGAAAGGGTGATTTATAAAGCAAGTCAAGAAGCAATCTTGGAAATAACTATTTATTGATAGTGAAATTGGTGTATTTATTTTCTGGTTGACAAAATCTTATGTGGTCCTTAAAAAAAAAAAAAGAAAATCACAAAGTTGTCTCATTTTCTCTCCTTGTCCTGGCTACCTGCCTCCTCAATCCCAGTCCTCCAGCTGGGAGAGGTGCCCTTTGGGGGCTGAGTATCAGGACAAGACATCTTTCAGGTTTGCTGGCCTGTTTAAAATTAAAAAGCTTGGCCCAGACAAAAGAAACAGGGTAATGAACTAATAAAGAGAAAAGGCAGGCATCAGAGGAATTGTCAAAAGTCCCACAAAAAAGCACCTTTGAAAACAGAACAGAACCAGCAACATATTCTACTTAGCAAAAGGTTCAATCCAATAACCTCTGAATGCACTGACACCCCCACCCCCAAAGACAGAAGCCACTTCGCCATCTGAACCACTGCAAAGGGAAATACAGAAAAAGCAAAGGCTAATAAGAACAGAAACATTAATTCCTTCTAGAAGTCCTATGGAAAATTTCAGATGACATTTTTGCATATCGTAGCTCATGTAATACTAGAAGCAAGACAATTGTTTTGCATCTCTAAAACCCTCAGTTTCAAAATTCAAGTGGTTATACTGTTATTAAAAGGTTTTTAACTGCTGGTCCTGGAAGAGGCTAATCCAGCAGCTTAATTGGTAGGGCTCATCAGCATTACCAAATCTGCTGAGGTGAGGGTGGCTAATACAATAAAGGTGTTTTTTTAAAGAGCTTGTTTTCTTTCAAATCAATAACAAAACCAACTCTAGAAGGAAGAAGGGGTTATTTCTGACAACCACTGCCCACTATGATAAAATGAAATCAAGAAGAAAAGTCCTGTTTCACTTTGCCAAGCGTCCTCTGCCATGCCTTGGCGAGGTGTCACATTTAGAGCTCAAATCTGGAGCAACATCACCAGGCTGGGCTGAACAGGGCCCTACATAGGCTAACCAGAAATGCCTGCAAAAAGAGCCAGACATGAGCAATGGCTGCTACTAGTTAGGGCTGATTTTGCATTTTTGTTTTTTAATTCATACACGTGCTTCCTACTGAGCTGAAGAGACCAGGATCTTGCTTCTCCTCTGCCAATTCTGAGAAATTTTAAGTTGCAAGCACTCCTCTAAAGAGCAGGACCAGGTCTGTGTGACAACAGTTTGGTCTTAGCCAAACATGGCTAAGGGAGGACGTTAGCCTCTCAGGGCCAGGAAGTCTAGTGTTTTGCTCCCCCCTGGGCAAGCAGCACTTTTGAGAGAGGGCAGGTGAAGGATCATTAGCAGCTCTCACATATGGGGACAGGCAGAAAAGGAGGGCAGGTATTTCATAGTCACAACTGAGAAGGGGCATCCTCAAAGGTAATGAGGCTGGATTCCTGGCTGGCTGCTTTCCCTGCAGTGAGAGCGTCCCGGCTCTTCTCAGGTAGCAATGGAGAATCACCCTTGATATTTTCTTCATCATCATCCTCCATGCTGGGCCAGGCTGACTGATCTTCCACACGCTTCAACCTTTCATTCAGAGCCTTGAGGGCCAATTGTCTACAGAATGAGAAAAGGATTCAAGGTGAATTCAAAAGTCTGAACATTCTGCAATGTTTCATGAAAGTGTTTCCTAGTACCTGTACTAATCATCAAAATGTCCCAGATTTCCTCTAATGAAAAGGGTAGGAAATCAATAGCCAAACATCACCTATCGATCCCAGATTATTATTCCCACGGCAAAGCTCATCAAAAATAGCCAGTGAGTCCTGGCCAGCAACCAAATAATTTCTGTACACAGCATCACTGCTTATGTGCTACATTAAATGTTTGAAGTTGTCACCCTTACTTTAATGTCTTCTTCAGTGCAGCCTTAAACCCAGGAGTTGGGGACTTCAGAGGATTCAAGGGTCATCTTCACCTCCAGCATCCATCATGCACTGCACTAACCCTCAAAATATGAAAAGCATACCTCCTGTTTTTATTTCCGGTGGGTTGGCAAGAGAATTGCTGTTTAAGCAACACTGCAATAACTGCAATCTCTGCAACTAGTGGCTTTGAAGAGTGGAAAATAAGATTTTTCCCCACACCACTTTTGGCTGAGGAGGGAACTGGAGCTCCAGGGGTAGGCCTGCATGCTACAAATACAGACTGGGACAAAGGCAGGGGTGCATTATACTCACATCTACTTTAATGGCTTCATTAGTTTAGTCTTAATCTTCGTAACAACCTTTGGACAAAATAGCCACTCCTTTCCATTACAGGAGTAATTACTGGCAAACACAGTTTTTATGTTTAATTTATCCACATGGAAAACTCTCACTTTCTAGTTAAGGCTGGAGGAGTGTTACCCAGGGCTATCTACATATTTCCAAACTACAGAAAAGGTAATATAAGATGAAGAAAATATAGGCAGTAATTTAAAATTAAGAAAATAAGCTTTAAAGTTTCCTAAATTAGCAATGTTGTGTTTGGGAGCAAGTATACCACTTTGGCACCTTCCATGTTGAACTCATGGGATTTGGGTGGTCAGGGGCATGGTATTTATTGAATATTTATTCACTGAATATTTATTTATTTATTGAAATATTTATTGAATAAAATCTGTATATAACCAAAACTGTGCTGTTCAGACTCATGCAATTCAAGGGAAAAGTGTAAATAATATGCTAAATTTAACTTACAGCATCAGGATGAGGGAAACATAGGCAGTGAAAGACAGGAGCAACATAACTGATGAGATATCACAGTAAGAAAGGGAAGCGAAGAAAAGCAAAACTAACATCTGGAATAACTTCGTGATGGTGCTTAATGGCAATGACTATAAACGAGAAGCCATCGATTTAAGACAAAGATTAAAATTAAATCCTTATATATACTTTAAGGCTTGTTATCCTGCCTTTGTGGCAGTGCCCAGTTATCTCTACTCTGCACACCACTGAAAATCTAAGGTCTAAAGTGCTGTGTAATGTGTTGTTTATTTGAAGTTTGTTTTCAACAGAGAAGTAATAATCTCCCCCTTTCCCCCTACAGAACTGGATGAAGTACTTCACTCTTGTTATGGCTCATCCTGGTCATGCACTCAGATCATTCAAAACAGTGCAGCAATTTTGGAAAGCCTATGTATAAATGCAACAGGTTTCTCAATCAAGGGAGCTATGACTACTCCATGTGATGGCATATATTTTTTCTAAGACTTCACTAGCTTTGAGATTTCTCCTTCAAAATTACTGAAATCAAGTGAAGGTGGTACTTATGCCAAAAACTAATGAGTGACCCTATTTTAAGTTGGAAGCTCTCATGTATCACAGTGTCTTCAGCATTGAACACTCAGTTGAAAGGTCAATATTTATAGCATATCACAGAAGTGAGTACACTCCCTCACATTTCATAAATATTTTAGTATATCTTTTCATGTGACAACACTAAAGAAATGACACTTGGCTGCAATGTAAAGCAGTGAGTATACAGCTTGTATAACAGTGTAAATGTGCTGTCCCCTCAAAATAATGCAACACACAGGCATTAATGTCTAAACTACTAGCAACAAAAGTGAGTACACCCCTAAGTGACAATGTCCAAATTGGGCACGAAGTGTCAATATTTTGTGTGGCCACCATTATTTTCCAGCATCGCCTTAACCCTCTTGGGCATGGAGTTCACCAGAGCTTCACAGGTTGCCAGTGCGGTCCTCTTCCACTCCTCTCGGACGACATCACAGAGCTGGTGGATGTTAGAGACCTTGTGCACCTCCACCTTCCATTTCAGGATGCCCCACAGATGCTCAATAGGGTTTAGGGCTGGAGACATGCTTGCTGCTTGTCTGCAGCAAGCCATATGGGGGCCTTCTTGTGCATCATTTTTAAGAGGCTTCCTTATGGAATGACAGCCCTAGAGACCAATTTGATGCAGTGTGCGGCGTATGGTCTGGGCACTGACAGGCTGACACCCTCACCCCTTCAACCTCTGCAGCAATGCTGGCAGCACTCATATGTCTATTCCCCAAAGCCAACTTCTGGATACGATGCTGAGCACGGACACTCAACTTCTTTAGTTGACCATGGCGAGGACTGTTCTGAGTGGAACCTGTTCTGTTAAACCACTGTAAGGTCTTGGCCACTGTGCTGCAGCTTAGTTTCAGAGTTTTGGCAACCTTCCTATAGCCTAGGCCAGTGATGGCGAACCTTTTCGAGCCTGAGTACCCAAACTGCCAACGCAAAACCAACTTATTTATTTCAACACAGCAACTAAACCTGAATACTGAGGTTTTAGTTTAGAAAAACAACTGCCCTTGCACGGCAAGGGTTAAATGCTTGTTCTTTTTTTCCTAGGGGAGGTATTAACAGAGAAATACTTACTGGTCCTCTAATCCCCTGCTGGGCTAGACCGGTAATGGTCGCCATTGCACCCCTCCACTGGACCACTGCATCCAGGATTGGAGGATGGGTAAGTATTTTTTCGATGGTGACTTATGGGTCATGCGTCCAACAGAAAGAACTCTGAGTCACCACGGTTGCGGCCCAGGTTGGCTCATAATGCGGCCCAGTGCAATTTTTTTATTTTTAAAGAAATTCCAAAGTTTCAAGTTAC